AATATTTTATGGATACTTCTGAATTCGGACTTATGTACACCTCATGAAACAGTAAGGATGATAGAATCATCAAACTATTATTACTTGATGGAGAGGCCGGAATTCATTGCCAGTATTCAAATAAAACTCATATGTAGGTATCTAGATAGTAATTATTTAGTTAACAAAAATATTTTGTGACGTACCCCAGTATGTTTTTTACAATATATTTAGTGATACAATATTTAGGATTTGTCATGGATACTATAAAGTAACAGGAATCAATTTCGCCCTTGATAGCAGTACATATTCGAGGTAAACATATTTGGTATATCTGAGCTTGCCAACCAATCACTCCCAGTTTTATCCAAGGTAGGAGAGGAATCAATTATTGAAACATTTTTATTTATTCAAATGTCAGTGAGCAAGAAGAAAAATTACTTTATTTTCATCAATTTTAAATAGACCCGGGCAAAACAAGGACACTAACTACAGATACAAAATCTTTTAATCTGTAGTAATAATAGTTCCGAGTAGCAAATGTCAAAGCTAGGCATTTTCACGACACAGCATAGTTTTGATCATGTGATAAAAAACGTATTTAAAAAATTGCTATTATTGTTGAACAATATATTCACCGTGTGTAGAAAAAACATGGCCAAAAATGGATTTGATAGGTAATCAGACGTATGTCATTTAAAAACAGTTTCTCTTCCCGTAGATTCATTTGTCCTATTTGAGTTTCAAAAATTCGTTGGAACTTTTATGAGTGAGACGTTTTACAGGCTGTAAGAATTGTATCTAACATTATTCTGGTGAGGTAATTTAGCAAGGATAGTGTGAAATTGTAGAATTCAGGTTCTGTGAGGATTTTCCATTCTTTTAGTCCAGAAATGCTTTGATAACCACATTTAAGTTGTTTTAGACTGAGGACTTCCTCAGTGTTACATCTTACACTACGGGTCAGTAGAAATTCCACGTTTTCACTCAATCCACTTTCTCGGATTGAGCCTAAATCCGTCTTGCATTTATAAATTTTAACCAATAGTGCGTAAGATTTTGATTATTTCGTGTACTACAGGTTTTTGTTGGATAAAATCACATAGCACGTGACTATGCCTTACAATTTGTCATCGATATTAACTTGGCTACGCGATGTGTCATCACCCATATCAAATATCCCCTTTGTTATTACCGTCTCTAAGATTACCCTCCTACCACGCCAGCTTCCATTCTCAATAAATGACAACAAGCTTGGTATTACAAGCTCAAAGAAATGTCAATGTGTTACATCCGCGCTAATAATCGTGCTTCATTTGGCCGTAATTCTGAAGTGGGTTCTAAACCAATGGTTACACCAGTGCAGTACACCTCCTCCAGTTTGGAAGTTCGTTTTTGCCTACTACTGCGTCACATTATTTGTCGTCGTTTTAATCTTCATTGTCCACTTAACCCTGCTAAAGCGAGAGGTCAAGCTCCTGCTGAATTGTGCACTTCTTATCGAACATGATCTCAACGTAAAGGGTATGTTAAAAATTCAATAAACTCAAAGTTTACCAAAGATTTACTATTTTTTAATACTAGGTACCCAAGCGTCAACCGAAATGTCTGTGCGTTACGAAAAGTTGATGTATCTTATAAATCTATATTATTTAAATATAAATTGAAATATCGGTCCGTTAGGAAAAGTGGAAGGAAAACGTGAATGACTCTTATTTGAGTATATGTACACTAGCAGGAAGTGTGCGTTTGAATGTATATCTGTACGAGATTATATCGGGCTTAAAATCTTACAAGACCGAACTTATGTATTTAAGTCGGGCTTATCCACTAGTATGCACACATAACCATTAATATTCGACGGATAGATAGACACAACATTTTAAAAGCTCGTTTATCTAGTTGTTTTTAAATATCCTTGTGAATTATGACCCAATTTTTTTTTAATTTCTAGGAATACCCAGCATCAACATTAATTACATTTGCTTCCTCTCTCTACTGGCAATGGGTGCCGTCACCGTACCAATAATCCCCTTCACCCTGGCATTCATTCGTCCCTGTATCCCTCCCCTGTTGACAAGTGTTATTTATCTGGAATGCAAATCGTGGGATGATGATGGCCAATCGGAACTAATTGTGAGAACGTTCGTGGCATGTTTAATGTTCTACGGTGCAGCCTCAATTTCTTCCACGGTTGCACTTACAATCGCAGTATTGCTAATATATCCCACCGTGGTTAAGTTACTACTGCTAGAAAAAATGGGCAGGTGAGGCACATATGTACTTTTCAGAAAAAAAGAACAAAAACAATTATAAAAATTGCTAAAAATTGATACAATTTTGTAGAAAATCAGAGCTTGGAAGGCAACATGTCTTCTCATATCGAATCACATACCGGAGCTTGCAGATCCTTTCGGCCAGGCACAATTCAGCTTTCAGGCAGCCCATCATGCCCGCTCTGGTGGCAGGAGTGACAGCATGTGGGAGTTTTGGGCTTTATGTGCTAATAACAACCACGCCTGATGTTCCTCTCCCAGTTATAATTCTGTTCTGGATGGTTGCCGTACAAATGGTGGCAATCATCGTAGTTCCATTTAAAATGCTTGCGAATCCGTTTGTCAGATCGGTTGGGTTACTCAAGTATCTACAATTGATGACGGGGTCGGCTTGGGCTAAGCGGTTCGTTCGTTCCTGTCCACCGTCCAAGTTTACATTGGGCGATGGGAATTTTTTCGATAGGGCGACATCTCTTGTCATTTGGAGGAAATGTGTGGATGTATTAATTACTTTTTTATTAATGTAATTTTATTAATTGATGTCAGTTACAGTACAAGTGTGATCGTATCATATAATTTACATAGATAGGCTCTGAAATATTCTTATTAAGAAAGCGAGCGTAAACGGATTCAATTCAACTGACACAGAAATATTTAAGTAAATAGGTGTATACGTAGGTATATACTCATGTATTAAAGCAAAAATGTATTCAATGTAATGTCGTCAACCTGACATATTTACGCTATGCTTTGATATATCGATAAGTGCATATGTGGACGTACATGCAAAATTATGCTGATCTATATATTTATGTATGTGCCAATTTGTTTATATTTTTATATTTTCCGAGCTACGCATACATGCATGTAGATATATTCATTTTGCAAGAACTAGGCTATATGTACATATACATACATATATTTGTGCATATTAATTATACTTCGTTAGCATTATTACACCTTATTCTTTGGATACTGCATAATATATGTATAGGCATTTAACATTAAATTAAATTATGTGTGTTGTCTAATAAATTGGAAGTTTGCACATATGTAAATATGTATGTAGGTATCTACAATTCAACCGAATTAAATACATACACTTATGAATACTAGATCCTTTTTAACATTCAATATGTTCCCTCGTAACAAGCTTTGGAATAAAGTATGATTGAACCAATAAATTCAAATTCAAATGCGTATTTAGGGACGTAATGTTTTAAATGTACATACGTTAGAAAATTTAAGAAAAGATTGGTTAAATGTTTTTTATATGTGTACTTTGTGCCAATTATTTCATTTGCAGAAATGATCAAAACTATAAATTGGTTGCTACGCAATTTAATTCCTGCATGTAAACACACAAATGGGAAAAAGTATTCGTATCAGTTGCATATATACATACACACATGTATACATTTAATAATTCCATGAACTATTTAGTATGCATTATTTAATTATTAAAGTTCATTAAGACAAACGTTAGCATGTTGATGCGATTTTAATTAAATTTTATATGATAGAAAGTTATATGTAGATAGTAAAAAATGGAGAATTTTTTTCCATTTTTTACCATAGACAAGTTTCCACAACTTAACGAAATTCCACATTTTACAATATCTCTGTGTTAATTGCTGACACACCAGATCATAAAATCATGCTCGACTTCATTTAGTATGCACAACCCATATGTAAATACATATCTGTATGTACATACACAGTTGTTAATCATACCTAATTTTTGGCGTGAAATCTATATCCTGGGCAGCGGGCGGTTGCTACACATTTAAGCGATATGAATCATACCGATACATGCAAAATATGTATGAACATCTGCATATGTACATGCATGCATGCATACATATGTACATACATACATATTGCACACACAATTTGCTACTTAAGTAAATATGTGGTTTAAGTGGAACATAAAAATAAAACACAACAGTGTCGTATAATATGGGAAATGTGTGAGTAATGAGGTATCCGATCGACTGGCAAATTCTTGTCGTTGGCTCACTCTCGGCTAAAATGATTGATGGGGAGAGAAGCTAATAGCTTTTCCCTGTTTTTTAAGGTGGGGGACGTGCAGTGAAAATGGGAAGGATTTTTTAAGCTGTATTTTCCCACGTGCTTTTTTCGGGAATTTATTAAATTCATTTTCTACACAATTTTTACAGAACGCAAAAATAGGGAGATATTTTATATGAATGGCCTCCAAGTTTTCATTTAAGCTCAGCTGCAGTTCGAAATGAGGACAAGATTGATTATTCTGTGAGCGTGGGACAAGGTGTAAAAGTGGGTTTGAGACATAAAAAGATGAGAATTGTCTTCTCCATGCTTTTGTTACTTTCTTTAAGCGGAGGAGCCATTACATAAATAACTTTGTGTGACTGCGACGCGTCAATCCATGCAAAATTTTAAAACAGGGTGCAAAATGGGAGGGAAATTTCGGGGAGATTGAGAATTTGATGGGGAACATGTTAATCACAAATTTATGTATAAAATTTTAGCGAATTTTTTGCATATGCAATTCATTTGGTATTTCGAAAGTGGAAAAACATTAAAAATCATATTCGTAAAAAAAAAACAATTTGTTGTGGAATAAACAATTTTATGCATTATGACGTACTGAAAAAAATATGTAAAAAAATGACTCCCTACTCTCTCAACATTACCCTAGAATTTAATATGTGCATGTTGTGTAAAAAAATCCCCACGATCCGCCACCCTGGTTGCACACCCGGCCAAAGAAGAAAGTATTTCGAGCAGAACAATATTATTAGAATTCAACTTCATCATCATCTCACAGTCATTTCAACTCATCCCGTCCACTCCAAAGTGTTGCCTTGTTCTAAATATTTTTCCCTGGTAAGAAAAATCAGTTTTTGAAAACAATTTTCAAAATTTTCAAAATTTTGCAATATATTTTCAGTCCTTAGAAGAAGACAAAGAAAGCCGAAAAAATGGACGCCATCAAGAAGAAAATGCAGGCCATCAAGCAGGAGAAGGACCACGCCATGGACCGCGCTGATGTCATGGAACAGACCGCGCGCGATGCTAATGTTCGCGCGGATCGGGCGCAGGATGAGGTTGATTCTTTGAAAAAGCGAATTTTGCAAGTGGAGGGTGAATTTTCGCAAGCGAAACAAACTCTGGAAACGGTAACGACGACGTTGGAAACGAAGGAGAAAACCTTGCAGGCCGCCGAAACGGAGATGGCCTCGCTTGGAAGGAAAGTGCAAGGAATTGAGGAAACTTTTGAAAAAACGGAAGAAAATTTGAAAAAGACGGAACTCTCGTTGGAAACGACGGCCCAGTTGCATGACGATTCGGAGCGGTAAGTCTGTAAAAAAAGAAAGTATGAGTTAAAGGTTTGGATGGGATTCAAAATTCTACGAGTTAAATTTTCAAATTCATATATTCGTTGATTTTTTTAATTTTGAATTATTAAGAAATCAGTTTTAAAGTTGGCAAATTAATATTTTCTCTAAGTTAATGCCACGCTTCTCATACAAAAATGTGCAAGTAGCATTTTTGGCATTCAAATGTGTGTAAAGCAGCGTTTTTTATATGCAAAAAACACGTAAAGTTGGCCACTTTGTATGCAAATTCATACATAGTTTTCGTATATAGAGATGTGGAAATTTGGAAATAAATTTCCAAAAAATAGAAACATTAAAATTGATTTAACTGTAGATTTTAAATCTTTTCCATACAAAAGACGAATACAAATTTCGTGTAAAAATTAAGATTTTATTTTTATTACTATAATTGTGTACATATAAAAAATTGCAATTTATTCTCAACAAAGTTTGTTTTAATTATTTTTTTCTACGAGTTTTTTTCCTTTTTTGGTACCAGAATGCGAAAAGTATTGGAAAATCGTGCCGTTACCGACGACGAGAGGATGAAAGATTTGGAAGCAAAAGTGAAGGAGGCGACCGGTCTGGCAGAAGAAGCAGATCGAAAATACGACGAAGTTGCCAAAAAGCTCGTCATGGTTGAGCAAGACGTAGAAATGGCGGAAGATCGTGTCTCATCTGGAGAAACGTATGAAAATTTGGCTTTACAATAATTTATTTTAAATTGAAATTTGGCATTAAATTGCTAAATTGAAAATCGGCCACCTTAATTTCTTTTAGTAAAGAAATTGTATGCAAATTGCCTTTAATAACAGGCAGAAATACGTATCAAAGATTCTAAATATGGGAATTCTTATTGTGAAAATTAATTTGTAAAATAGCGAAGTTCAGTAATTTTAGAAATTATAAGTACCCAAAATTGACTTGTTGACAAACAAAAAAAATTTGCATATAAATTTAGATAATGATACATTTTCTTGTTTTCGAAATTATTTATCTGAAATTTTGAAATGAATTTTTTAGTAAAATCCTTGAGTTGGAAGAGGAGTTGAAAGTCGTGGGAAATAACTTGAAATCTCTCGAAGTTTCTGAAGAAAAGGTAAATTTCTATTGTTGAAGCACATGATTTCTAAATAATTTCAAACACTCCAAATATGTATTTTTTTTAATTTATCAGGCCAACCAACGAGAAGTTGATTACAAGAAACAGATTAAAATTTTGTCCACCAAGTTGAAAGATGTATGAAAATCAAATATTGGTTTTAATATCAAGTATTAATTAATCGTGAACAATGTTTAATTAAAATATTATCATTAACTGCACAATTTGTTTTATTAGACTCTCCAAATGATACCTAATTTCAATTGAGCTTCATTTTTAGCTGATTTCAACACAGCTAAAAATTTCCAAAAATTCAGATCATAATAACTATTTCATTCTATAAAAATTTACTTTTAGAATCTTGAAATCAACGATGTGATTTTTTTTGGGAACAAATTTATTCAAATTTGACAAATAATTTTTGGTAATTTGTAAACCTTTCTACACCTTCTAGTCCGAAGCTCGAGCCCAGTTTGCAGAAAATACGGTGCAAAGATTGCAAAAAGAAGTGGACCGTGTGGAAGGTAGGTATCTAAAAAAATTTGCTTGGATTTTCAAATTATGCAGATTTTTATCAATAATTTGAATGTTACTTTTCATCAAAAAAATTATCAACGTATGTAAATATAACTTGATTACTTAATCATGTACAAAATTCTCTCTGTAGGCGAGCTGACGAACGAGCAGGAAAAATACAAAGGCATCATTGGCGAGTTGGACGCCACTTATTCTGAAATGACGGGCTATTAAGGGAAATTTATACGAAATTTATGCGAGTTTTGATCCGATTGTGTTTATAACAGAGGAAAGTTTTGTGCCGTGAATAAAAATGAAATTCAACTAAAAGTTTGGATAATCTGGAAAGAATACCTCCGAACTTCCCCCTTTTTCCCGCCCCTTAGAGACCATTTTAAGCCAAAATCCCCGGCCCCCTAATTTATGCAATTTTTCGAACATTTAAATGTGGTAACTTGGTGATTGGCATTTAATTAATTTAAAATGCATGCTAATTTCTCCATATAAAAATTGAATCGTTCTCTCGTACTATGCAATTTTGCTAATGAATACAAGTTATATAAGCGAATGAACTTACGTATTTAGAATGTTTTGCATTAATGTTAATTAGTTGTAATTTATATAAACACATACAATGCGCACATATTATCATGATTTGTAGAAAAATACGACATTTTATTACAAAATACATATTGCAAAATATTTAACACTTGTGCAAAATACAACCCCATTACAAATCAATACAAAACCGCAAAATATATTTTCACAGATTGCAAAAACTAAAGTTAACTTCAATAATACACAAGTATTATTCAATGGCGCTAATGATCCTCACTTTAGCACCCCCACATAGAGTGTGAGTCATCTTTCACCTTGCAGTTTTCTCTTTAATTTACATACATATTCCTAGTTAATTGCCGCAAGTATGAGTTGGAATACTTGAAATTTAGACTTGAATAATAAAGATATCAAGCAATAATTGTGCATGTAACTTCGTACATCTAACTGGTTATATTATTCAAACCAATGAATAAAGTAAATAATTATGAATGAAATTCTGTGCTAATTAAAAAAAGCGATATTAAAACTGCAATATCCGGATGACTCACACGGTTGACCCATGTTAATTTTATTTATCATCACTACTTAAACATGCAATGATTTAGTGCCGTTTTTGATGCACCTTCAAATCGGGTACTCAACAATTGCATGAAAAAATAATGATGATATAAGAATTAACATAGGTAAAGAATACCAGTGTCACCTTTACATGTATTATCACTATACTACCACGAAATGCATAAGTACCGTATTGATGGTGCGTCAATAATGGTACTAATGCATTGCATGAAAGGATAGTGATAATCGTAAAGGTGACAAAGGTTTGGACTCCGACAATTAATGTAATCTGACAAAAGTCGACTTATGAGAGAAACTCATAGTCAACTTTTGCCAGATTAATTAATTGTCAGAGCCTAAGGACCAAGTGCCTGGGGGTGCTAAAGTGAGGATCATACAATAGCGCACTGACCCCAGACACTTGAAAACCACTTCTTACTTGAATTTGAAAATGTTTGGAAGTAATTTGCTACAAATGGTGGCTCCTTAATATCCGAATGTTTGGAGGGGATGATTCCTCTTCGGTTTCATACGAAACTTCTGGTACTTCTTGGGCTATGGATGATGATGGACCTGGAGTAGCTTGACAATTTGCCTCCCGTAACACTTGCGCTGCATCTAAAAACTCTAGAATCCTGGGTCTTCTTGGCCTCAAGTTCTCTGGCTGATGACGTTTGTATCCCATATACCATATTACCTGCATTACCTTGCCAACAAGTGCAGTAATAACCGGTGATTGTGTGATGGTCTTGTAAAGTCGGGTTGAACTCAATCCATAATTGATGCCTTTTGCCAGATTTGAATCTGCTATCCAATTTGGCTCTTAGAACTCCCGGAGTCTTGTCGTTGAGTTGAATTTGAAACTCCGACTCTTCACTCAAATGTTTCTTCGTATATTCTTTCGCCAGAGATAATTGGTACACCCCCAATGTCAAGTTCTCCAGATCCTGCACCGACAATACTGGAAAATTTTGAAGCACTTCGGACGAAGCAGTTTCCCAATCGTCGGTGTTTCTGTCCAACTTCTCGCTTACAACTCTCTTCTTCATTGCATTTTCAATTTTTGATCTCACCAAAGCCTCCATAGCTATTTGGTGATTCCGCTCGGTGTCCTCCATTAGCGGTGGACTAAAGCAGTTTATCAATGCAACGGCTATCCTGAAAAATCGCGTCAATTTTGGGAGATACGAACCGGGAATGACATCGGCGAAGAATTTGTACTTCATCTTGAGCCTTCCGTTGACTGCTTCAACGAGCCACCTCACCAGTGTACACTTTCTTGAGATATTACCTTGAGCTGTGGTAAATTGGTCCTTGGCCTTCGCCTTCAATTCAGGCATGTGTATTCGAAACCCTTTCATCTTCAGAGGTCGGACATTGTCCCGAAACCCGCGGTCGAAAATAGGTTGGTCTTTACTGGGGTCCAGGAATCTCAAAAGTTCACCACCTTCGACGAGAAGAGAGTTCAGGATCCCGGCATCATTATTGGCTCCGTTGTTGTAGTAAGGCCCTGGGGCGTCAATTACATAGCCGTCTTCAAGCACGATCATCATGGGCTTTACCAAATTCCTTTTCTTCTGTTCCGACCAAGTCATTTTTTGGAGTTGGAAGTCGCTGGGCTTGTCGATGTACAGGTAAGTTCCATCGAATATTGGAAATAAAGTGTCGTCTGGAGTTTCAAAGAGGGTCTTGAACAGTTTCCTTCCATGCTCTGCAATAGCTTGATCTCTTGACATGTGTTGAAATCCTAGGAATTTCGGGACGAAGATCTTCTCCAAGGCTTTTGACACGGAGTTGATGGTGTCACTGACAGTGCTGACTTGCTGAATCCCAAACATGATTCCCAAAACTGGCTGCGATAAATTAAGACGAAGTAGGCATAGAAAAAGGGCCAGGGCGTTCCGCGGGTGTCTATTTGCACTATCTTTCAAGCTTCCCTTGATGTATTGATATAATTGCTTGAAATCTTCTTTTCCTAGTCCAAGGAGGGTCTTATACTCTTCTTCGGTATGCTCTTGCTCATCTTCGAAGTCGAATCCCACTTTCCTCTTATATTTCTGACATGGCTTTGCCGTCAAATCCAAGATCCACTGAGCAATTTGATGGTCATTCATAATTACGCCGTTTTTATTGGCCACGATGTTGTCCATATCTTCAGTGAGAAATAATCCATTTTGTAAATGAGATGAGCAGCATCGATTATTTTGTGGGAGCAGGATATTCTTTTTCTCCCAGACTTGTTTTATTGCGGATTTTGGGATGATCTTCCTTTGGTCGACACGTTTGCACAAAAAACAGCACTTCTGGGTCGAGGTCACAGATTGAAGGGAGGTGAGTCGTCTTTGTGAGGCAATGGAGGCTTGAGAATTTATGCTCAAGGCTTGTGTGGAAGCAGAAGAAGTTGTTGAAATTGAATAGGCTGCAGAATCTTGCGACTGGATTGAAAAAATTTGTGATTGAGTAATGGATATCGAATCTGAGCCGGACTGGTGGTGCATTGTGTCGTCACATTCGGGAAAATCTTCGTGGAGATGTGAGGAGAGGAGTCGCGGTGAGAAGAGTGGTCGCGCTGAGAAGAGTCGTGGTGCTGAGAGAGATTATGCGACTGGTCCGCACTTTGGGATGGGTCACCACAATAAACGTTCTGACGAGTTCTCTTGGTCGCCAGTTCTTCCGACGGGATGAAAGGGAGAGTACGGCGTAATTTGTCGCCCTTTGCCTTCATATCGGCGCCCGCAGCGCGACGAATCTAGTTAGTTAATTAATTAATTTTCGCCTAAATAAATAATTCAATATGATTTGGAAACTTAGACCTGCTTACCTGTGCGTGATGCTTGCCACAAATCACATCCGTTTTATGATAATTTGTCACGTCTCCAACAAATTGTTCCAAATACATCCAAAACTTCGGCTCTCCAATCCGCTGAAGTTTACCCCCGGGAGGTATTTTTGTTTTACATCCAGAAATACAACATGAAAGGAACGGCATTGCGAAATAGCAAGTCGAAAAATGGATGCAAATAGAGTGAGAGGAAAGCGTAATTTCCAGTTTGTATTTTTACTCACGCTACATATATATTTACATATTTTTAGTGTCAATTTTTCAGTTGACAAAATAAACGTCATGGATATGGTGACCATATTTGGTGTTGCTTTGTCGCAAAATTCATAAAAACCCCTTCGGGATTTTGGCCATATCTCCAAAAGTCCATCACGCCGATCTCCAAATATTTTTGAAAGTGCGAAGGATGACTTAATACTTTACATAGTAAAAAAAATGGAGATCGGCGTGATGGACTTTTCATGAAATAATTTTTCAAACTTATGCGTTTTGGGGCCTCGTGACAGGTCATGTTCTAAGGTGTTCTTTGGATAATTTGTGTTCTTTTTGTATTTTTAGATTTGTAATCTTTTTTTTCATTACAAATTGTGACGAATTGGTGTGAGCAGTTTTTGGAAATTTCGGTCTAAATCAGAGAAAGATTGAAACAACGGTTTTTGAATATTTGCATAATTTTATTTTATTTTTACATAAATATTTTTTACAAACGTTTTCATGAAACGTTTATCACTTAAAAATCCAACACAGTTTTGTAAATTTATGTTTCGTAGTTCCACAGGGTTTATATGTTACCACTTTGCAAATTTTTGTTTAAAAAATTGTTTCGGGGGAATTAACCCATTCGATTTGTGAAGCTATTGCCCTCATAAGTCCAATGTTATAAGTTAAGTTGAACCCAGTCTACCATTAAACGTTCCTAGTACGTCCTATTTCTAGAACTGTAGGTCCGAAAGACGTTTCATTATACGTTCCAGGTACCTTCTAGGTACGTTCTAGTATAATGGTTTTGTCGCCCGATATTACGTACCTGGAACGTTCTCTACAAGTCTTACAAACCGTAAATAGACGTACTGCGTACGTATAATGACCGTTAAAATTATGAATGGTGGTGGCGCTCTTCCCAACAAATACTATAATTTTCAACTCAAAACTAATTTTTAAATTTTATTTATATCGAAAAAAAGTCAACAAAATTAGTAGTATTATAAAAGTGGATTTAACTGTCCGTCAGACTTGAGTTCCTCACGGCGTGATTTGAACACGGCTTCGAACAAAAATTATTGTAATTAAACCGAAACCATAAAATATTAAATTAAAGAAGCATTTTAATTACTTTCTTTTTTTCAAGGCGGGAAGGAGCTTTCTTCAACTAGTATTTGATTGCATCTTCTGCTTCCGAAATAATTGATCGTACGGCACCTAAAATATATATAACATGAGTTACAACATTGCATTAATTTAAATTTAAGATTTTAAGAGAGGGAACTTACGAATAACACTTGAAAGCAAAAACGGAAAGTCACAAAATGCCCTCTTTCCTTTCTTGCCAACAAAGCTGTACTTCGCCATTATCTCGTCGGTCATTAGGCAAGTTAACACCCGGTGCGTAGCCTCAGTAAGCCTTTCACCACCTACACTAGCAAATTCAAAAACCTACACAAAATTTTGATTTATTTTGTAAGGGTTGATTAATATTTTATATATATGGTTTAATTTATTTTCTTACCAATCCTGCCATCTTTTCATTCACCGTAACAGCTCGGGAACCATTGGAAGGCTTGGACTTTCTCTCTCCCAATTTCAGCTCGCTTTCCAAACCGATGAGCTCGCCCACATTAGAAATAGGCAGCTCAAATAGCGCACTTTCAATTACGGCTCTATGATTTTAATTGGCCTGTCGATTCATCAAGATTTGCATCGCGTCTTGTAGATTGGCGACAGCAGCAACGAGCAGGTCCAGTTTATTGATGACTGAGTTTTCAAAGGCTGAAAAATATAAATTATTCTATACATAATTCATACTTCTAAACGAATAATTATAATACTTATCTATTATAAAATGTCCCATCAGATTTCTTGCACTAACCTGATTCTCTAAAATTGCGTGTTTGAATTTTTTCGGGTCTGCTAGCTTGTGTTCTGGAAGGTTGAATAGAAGGAGGCGTCGTCGGGATATTCACAATCTTTTCCCCTGTGAGTGTCGCAACGGCTGAAGAAGTGCCTGCCCCACCTAAAATAATACACATATTAGTTAGGTTAAAAATTTTAACACTCAAGTGGTAGTATATTTTGAACCCATCGATTGGCTATTGAAATTATTTGATCCGAACGCTGACTCCAATGTGACCTACATATACAATTGGCCCATTAAAAATAGACTATGTATATAGCAAAATAATAAAGTACCAATCCTAATTTTGAGTAATCCAAGTCCAGATCCACATCGCTAATTTTTGCACCTCCGCTTGCTGAATTACTCTCCGGTACTCGGCGGACCGCTCGCCTACCTCGTGGCGGCGCCTCATCCTCGGTGGTCGTGACCTTCCCTCTCTCCAACCGATTCAATTTATTTTGGGCCTCGTCATAAGTATCTGAAAAACTAATTGAATTAGTCAAGTCTGATCTCCTCTGATCACATTCTGTAGAGTTTTACGTCATACTAAATACGGACGAAAACTATACTTACCATAACTCTTCTCAATTTTAATGGAATACAACGACCACGTGGTGGGACTAGGAATTTCACGGTGGATTATTGATCTCTTCAATTTTTGTGAATTTTTCCAATAGGTGTAAAGCGTATTTTCAATATTTTTTATCCACGACTTTCTCACAGTTCCAACAGTCTTGTCGTGTTCACAAACTGATATTAAAGCTGGCTCCCAAACGAGCGCACGATTTAGCGCTCGTCTGATGAACACCTTTCAGGTACGTTCCGGTAACGTCTTATTTCCTTGTTATTTTTTGGTTCTTTGTAAGCGTATCCAGAACGTACCCATTTGGTACTTTTGGTCTAGGACCAATTTGGGACGTTTGACCCCCAAACCGGAACGTACCCAGTACATTTTGGCTTCGTGGGAAGGCATTAATTGCCTCGTATTTATGTATGACTATAGGAATTTATTTACACATCATTCTCATGATGCAGCTCTTCCTCGCATTGAAACCCGAGGCACGTGTCACTATTATGTACAAATTTGGGAACCCGGAAGGATAACAATGACCTGGGAAGAACAATGTCGACAGTTTAATATTATGGCTATTCATAAAGTCTGTTGTCTATTTTGGAATAATTTTGCATAGTCGGTCTTCATATACAAAATGTCATAATCATCTTGTCACGCATACGTTAAATTGGTGACATGGTTCATCTTAAGCCCCGAAAATTTTGATTCATTAACAATTACGGTTGGGAAAGCGGGTCAAGTTTTGTTTGAATGAACGTATTTACACATGTTGCCTTTTCGAATTTGTGTGATTCCATAAATTAAACTTGGTGTTACTTTATTGAAATCATTACTTATTTATTGTTACACACACACACAACCGCTAAGATGAGTCGGACCGGAATCTTGTCAATTTTCTTGTTCGTTGTCTTAGTTTCGTCGAGAGAAACAAGTTACGAAGAAGAAGACAAAGGTGATTTTGTACAAATTTTTAATAAATATGACGGTATGTAGTGAGGAGAAACCCAAGCGCATAACTGTGCTTGGGTATTATGTACTTATGTTTGTGCAAATTGTTTTACAAAAGCCCGACTACAAGAAACCTTGGCGAGTTTAGATTTTGTAAATACAGCGAAATTAAGACGAAACGAAAGCAATTAGTTGTAAATTCAATTTGTTTTTAAATTTCGAAAACAGAATTGTATAAAATAGGGATATAGAATTTCATGTCGTGCAATAGTGTAAAGTTTGGACGGTATTAATGTTCAAATCGTATTTGTCTCAGTTTTACTTTATTCACTTTTTTCTCTTTACATTTTTTTTACTAGTTTAATTTTTGTATTTTATAGTTTTATTTTTTTACCAAAAATTCTTTTGCATAAAATTCATACAAATTTTTTCATACACCTGAAACATGAAGGTACCTGCATTGCTGTTCAGACTTGAAGGAATGGTTCTTTTTAAGGGTACTACAACGAAGGATCCGATGCCTCAGAGGAGCAGTCGTTATCGTACGATAGCGGGGAGGACTATTACGATGGTTCAGCGTCCCGTGAGGGACCGCACCATCAAGGTGGGCGTGGTTTTTGGGATGTTGTGAAAGATGTTGGGAAAAAAGCTCTGCATGAGGTATGCCAAACGTGTTTGATAAATATATCGCCTGACTTTAATTTTTGAAAAGTTTTGTCAAACATATTCTGTTTTTATTTAAACATTTTGTAAACCAAAGCTGCATAATTTTGTAAACGAATCGCAAACCCTACAATTTTACAATATCGAGGGTGGGGTGTGATTTTTGAAAGCTTATTATTTGAAAATTTCAAAGAATTCTTAAAATTAAAATAGCAGACAATTTTAAATGTTTTTCTTCTTTCTTTACAGGCAAAGAATGCCGACTACAAGAAAATGGCCAAGGACAACTATCAGGCTGGCAAGGATGCGAAAGAATTTTACGATAATGCGTAAAAAATAAGTTACTTTTCTGAAATAAATGATTAGAATATTGATTTTACTGTACCACATTTGTACTTAATCAAGGAATAAATCATTAAAACAAATTAATCAAATGTGTAAATTTTCAACACTTTTAGCAAATTTTGGGATAACGTGTTGAAAATTAAAGTTATATATTAAAAATTAATACATATCTACATACTTATGCGTGTAAATGGTGGGAATAAATGAAAAAGTTGCCTTTTCATATAAATTCATGGCATTGTTGCAATGTTTGTGGCAATTTAGTGTAAATTGTGACAAAAATTAAGACCTCACTAGTAATTAACATAAGTATGTATGTATGTATTTATTATAAATACCCTATACCCTACTATGGGCCTTAGGCCCATAGAGTAACAAAATAAGATGTATAATATTATATATAAATATATATATTAATTAAATATAGTCAATTTTGAGTTCTTTGGTTAGTAGTGTGAGTAAAGAGAAGTTTTGAATTATTAAAATAAATTATTGAATTAAGTTTGTTATCCGCTAAATGTACATTAGATTTGGTTTGATAATCATATATTATAATTGGTAAATTGAATTAGATTATAATAAGTAATATGAATAATATAATAGTATTAAAATAATTGAACTTTTAGTCACATGCAGATCAAATATTTAGCTAGAATTTTAGTGTATTTTAGATTATGAAATAAATTAAATAATTGATTATAATTTCACATAATAATATTAATAATTTTAAATAATAATTTGAATTTTTATATAAGAACGTAACCTGGGAAGGTTACACAGTGCTTAACTCGATCTCAGTACGATTAATTGGTCTACGGTTACATTGCTTACAAATGTATGTAATCATGCATCCTAGTACAGCCACCCCCATCATCACGCTCCCGGCAGTCATCAAAACAAATCCAATGGTCTTATCCTCATGCATCCCTGGCATCAGCGGCGGTTGGGCGATGGGCTGCATATGTTCCGAGTATTGTTTGTTATCCGATTTATCAAGCGATGCATCCACCCCCGCAACCACCCCTCCAGTGATGAGGATTTCCGCCCCTTTTTTCAAGAGACGTCCCCACTGGAGTCCCTCTGCCATTGACACCCCCAGGAGCATGATGATAAAAATGGCTTTGTTGTTTGCCTATGGATCACGATTAAATTGCGTTAGTAGTGAATATATTTTTTTTTAATTTTTACCACAAGCCTATTTGTTTCTATACAATACGTACTACTAGGACGTACTAGGAACGTTTAATGGTAGACTGGGTTCAACTTAACTTATAACATAAGTACATACATGTGAAATTTAGGTGGATAATTTTGCAGTCAAAATTTTATTAAATAATTTCAAATAAAATTTAAGATGAATTTTAAAATTTCTTGTTGTTGTCATAATGAGTAATTAATTGCATCCACGGCTCACTGAATTAACCTGAAGGCCTCGTGTGTCCAATTCATACCAGCCACGAGCTCCGCCATCCTTTTCAAAAATGCAGGTTGCCTCTCCCTGGAAATTCTCGGAAGAATACAGCGTCCAATTTGATAATCCCATTACAATTACCCAGGTAGGAGTGAAGCCCACGGACGGGTCAGAAATGGCAGTGACGACCTTTTCAAATCCACTCCACGGCGAGAGATGTGTTCCATTATAGAGCGAAATGGTTGAGCCAGAATCAGTGTCGGATAATCCTGGAAATCGGATCGAATTTCCGAGATGGAATCGGAGATAATTTCCACACTTGTTTTCAAACCAGAATTGACTTGGAAATTGGGTTGATTGTATAGCATCCAACTAAATAAATTAAGAAGAAAACTGTGACAATTTTTGTATATTGCCTTTTCCAATAAATATATTAGTAAGCTTTTTCCATAAAATGTGTTCAGGCTTTGTTCAAATATTGGTCGAGTTAGTGTGAATAATTATTCGTGGAAACTTCCTGTGTACAAAATTCATAAATTGAGGAGGTTGATGAGCCTAGTAAGCGTACTGCGAAAAGTGGAGAAGATTTATATGCAAATATATTATTCAATAATCTATCTGTAGACCCTATTATTTTGCCAATTTACGAAATAGCGTCCCATATAAAACATAAGTTTATCAAAGTTTCAGATAAAAGCATATTGTGGAAAAGTTGATAACATGTTAAAAAATTATACTAAAACAAATTACGGAAAGATTGTTTAACTCACACTCCTGTCGCACAATATGATTGGGCCGTGTCTAAAAAGCTGCGCCATGGAGATAGGTCATCAATCTTGTCGGTAAAGGTCACATTCGCGCCTTGTTGATCGGTTGAGTTGTAAATGGTGATGGAATTTTGTACCGCAACACTCCCACCGATAAGAGTGGAAAGATGCATGAACACAGTAATGATGGAAAATTTCACTAATTTCATTTTATAAATATTTATTTGTGGAAATTTTGTTTCACATGGAGCAAATTATCGTCAGATGTGTGAAACGTTGAAGTATTGGATGAGTTGGGTTTCACGGAGGGGCAGGTTTATCTATCTTATCAGGAATATATTTATCTTCTTATCATGAACTGAATACCAATGTGAAGCTTTGCTTGATACGTTACTTGAACAGTGAGACCTACATACATACGAACATACATAACCAATCTAAATCTAAATATGTGTATACGTACAGTACTCGTGTATTAATCTACTGGTACATGAGTTAACGCGAAAGGTGTACAACTGGGTAAAATCTAATTGAAAACTGTCCTAGAATTAAACAGAGATACTCAGTCAGTATTTTGCTCGTTTCGAACTCATGAGGTGTGCGATTCTCCTTTGAATCCCGCCGAATTTGTAGCAGTGTATTAAGGCTTTAAAATGTGAACACGCTTAAAAAACGTGGATATATGTATGCACATACAATTATATACAGACATACACATGGAACACATTAGATACATTTCCACGTAATGAGAAAATTATAGTAAGAAATTAATCAAAAATCCATACAAAATTTACAAAGGTTTAAAAGCACAATGTGTATGTGCAATTACTTGCAAAACATCCATACATACTGAATATCCATGTACAATAACACATGCAGTTCAATATTTGTTATTTAAAAATGTATATCTGTTCGTATTTTTTTGGCATACATATCATAAGCGTTTCTTACGTGTTTATACAGTTTTAGCCTTTACATATATGTATGCGATGGATGTAAAGCAGACCTTGATAACAATCTTATAAATTTTTTTGTTAAGAAAAATATTTTTGCTGAGTTTAAGGCTAAGGTCCTTACGTACCGTCCTTACGTACGGTATGTGTTATTTATACTGATAATTACGAACAATTTGACCGATTCTTTCAACAGTTATTACAGCGATGCAATATTACATTAACAGAAACGTGATAAGCAAGTCGATACACTGACTACAAATTACAAGTGATGTAGCTTTGTCAAAAAAACCTCCATCGCCTAAAGTCAGTTTCGACGGTGGAAAGGACCTGACTAATCGCTTTATCAACTTGGATCCAGTCATAGGTTGAAAGGAGTGAAGTAACTCAACGGATTTGACGAAAGGGTTCGCCATAACTTTGAAAGGTCCCACAATTACGGCGAATAACTCAACCCCAACTGTTGCAAATAGTATTAAACCAGGGAAAGGAATCACAGATGAGGACGTTATTAGCGTATACAACGCAAAACTTTCGCACGCTGTTACGCTTCCGACTATTACGGACATGATGGGATGTCTAAATACAGAGTTGTGCATATCGGTAAGAATTTGCAAGGTCCGATAAGTTTTCAAGCATAGAAAACCGTCGTCCGTCCTTATTTTCGTCAAATAGCTGAAAATTTTAAATGGTAGATTAGCTATTTAATCCGTAAAATTGTGTTTATTCAGTTACCTTTTCATTAACTCGATCAATATCAGCTTTACTTCCGTGGGGTACGTCAGCACTATAATAATCCCGAAAACGGCTGTAGCCACAACAGTAAGTGAAAAGTAATATAACAAAATTGCTCCAAAACTTCTGAACCACATTCCAGTATTCCCATCATCGTCCCACGATTTGCATTCAAGGTATATTATACTCGTCCATGTGGGCGGCATGCAGGGTCGAAGTAATGCAAAGGTGAGACATGTAATTGGCATTAAGATTATGGCCAGCACGGAAAGAGCAACAACTACAATGTAGTAAATGTGGACGATGCAGTTACCTGTGTTTGATCATGTTAGAGTAACATATCACCAATTTAACCAGGAACTCTGTATACCACACTCTGCAATTTTTTTCATAATTTCGATTACGATGCGCGTCACATTATCGTTTAAAGTCATTGCCCTGTGAAACGCCTCACAATCAAAATTTTCAAAACATTGCAGAGTGCTATGTGCGGAGTCCCGGGTAAAATTGGGCTTCGATTAGTACAACTTTGTTGTGTAAACCTTTCTGTGCAACAATTATCGAACTATTTACATGGCAGTGATATGTCCTATATATTTTTCTATCGCAGTATTCCTATGGATTTATTAGAATTTAATTAATTTATCGTTTAACTTTACCTTTCATGTTGGAATCTTGTTCGATTTGAAGTGCCGAATTTAGTAAGAATACTGTTTCTTCTTTCAGAAAGTTGACATGAACTATGAAAGCCGCAATGGCTGCAAACAATGTTATGAAATAGTACATAAGGACGAATTTCCAAGTCGGGGATGGAGGCCGGGTAGGATACAGCCACTGATCAAGAACCCATTTAAGGACCACGACCAAGTGAAGTAATATAGTTAAAATGGCAACTAGTCGTTGACATTTGGTCAAATTTGGTAACACAAACTTTCCTCTGTTAAGTTTAATTGGAAGTTGATTGAGGAATATTGTCATCTTGGACAGATTTAGTACCAGTGGAATATTTGAGGATGGTAGGAGCAAATCGCGTGTCCATGTCACGATGTGAGACCTCTTGCTATTTTGCTTGAATATCAAGTTAATTCCTGTCAAAAAATTGAGCACCTTTTCAGTATATAAATCTTTATGATGTGCGTAAAATAGATGTTTAGTTGCGTAATACTAATTGAACCTTGAATCAGGTAATCTGCAGT